TCGTCTCTCTCGCTATTCCCATTTTCGTGCTCTCTCAGCTGGCTCAGAGTTGAGTTCGTTCGTCTGGCCCCAGACCATGACAAGGGTCCTGACTCTTGTAAAAGAGCCAGCCAAACATGACAGGGGACTGTATGTACGACCTACCCTGGTTCCACTGTCGTTCAAAAAGAGCCCAGGCGCAGGGTGCAGAGAAACGTCCTGCGTCCCTAGGTGCAGCATCGTTGACCTGCAATGTAACTATGCTAAAGGTGCACTATTATACCGCCAAAGATCATCACCACGTCCATCTCCTTTTTTTTCATTGACAAGTAAAAACACCCAGTTTCACAATCATATAATTTTCATTGTTTCAGGAAGCCACACACAGCCGGCATGTTTCCCTCTCTACGGTTACCGCTTACTACCACCTTGCATGTTCATCCGTAACATAACATTACTGACCAACTGATTACCTCTCCTCTTGTTCGGCGTGTCCGAAGGGGTAGTGCTTGTGGATTGGCGGCGCGTGGCGGAAACCAGTCTAACCACTGATCAGCTTGACAACTCGACTAAGACCAGACCATTTCGTGCCCCGTCGACACAAGATCGAAAACACACTGTTAGTTGTGTCCCAAGTATGTACCTTTCGACATGTGCTTCACGATGCAGACCATTTCTGACCTTTATCGCCGAGGCCAATCAGCTGCCGGGCGTGTGAGAGTCCCCTAATACTCACTGAAGCCGTGCTCGAGATCTACCTGTCGATACGTGCTAATTTTGACTTGGCGGCCTTACAAGTGCTCAGCAACCAACCAACTTGACCTTTGTCGCTTATTGGCCAGTTCTGTTTTAATCTTGTTCGATATTAATGTTTATTATTGAGGGAGCCGGATATGGTATTCACACGTTCAAGCTCTCGGATTCAACGTTCCCATTGCAGAACTCAAAACTCCGACCATGGCTAATATCGACACGGTATTGGTCCTTGAAATAATCGCAATTGGCCAGCTGAGCAAAGATCTGCTCCGCCTCAGCTCAAATTTCAACCTCGGATTTACAGGATGCCTAGGTTCGCCGGAGAAGTATTCCCCTTTTCGCCTGGACTCAATACGTAGCACTCTGCTGCTAGTGATCGTCTCCAATGTTTGAGCTCTTGATGCTTCGTGGCGTAAACCAATATGGGGGACCAACAACAGAAAACCCGACAAAGGCCGGACGGGCGGCCAGGTACGAAAAGACTAGGGGGGAAGCTGACACACGACGATCAAACTACTTCCTCTGTTAGGGATTGATGGAGACGGAGGAGACGTGGAGTTCTTGTTGGTCGCAGGGTTGACAGGGTTATTCGACATCGCTATTGACTGACCAACCAGCAACGACAACTCTCTAATGCAACTATCCAGCCAGTTGGGCCTTTGATGATGATGCATTCTCAGAAGACTCAGATCTCATCTGGAGGACGGGCCCCTGCATGAACGAGAGCGACTACTGTATGTTTGCTTCACAAACAGGCCTCCACTGGTTTGTGTTTGTGTGACCCTAGAGTCGTTCTGGAAGGCTTCTTTCGGCTCGCATGCTAATCACACAATACGGACGGCCCAGTACCGCTGCATATGCACGAGTCCTTCGGTTATGAGTTGGATTTGGATTCCGCAAACGCCGTTCATGTGCAGATAAGCGACGGAGATGCCTGTAGTCGTCGACCACTGCCACACTGGTGACCTGTCGTGTAAAGGGACATGGTGGCGTCCCTCATGACTTAATAACCAAGCAGCCAAACCGGGGCTAGTTTGGCCTGCCGCGTTCCGATGCATATAGACCGGCTTTGTTTGCCATGTTAGGACTGACGTATATTTCACTTACTCACTGCTCATAGAGGCACTGATGTAGTGGAGCTGAATACAGCTACCTAGAAGCTTTTACAGGTCAGAGATAATGCGTTCTGCAGCATCGCAATATCATGGTACGGAAGACGTAGGTGCAAATTGCACATATCTCACTTACACCGATCCCTTGCCGAGGTGCTGGATCGTATTGGGCGGTGGACACAACGCAATGGGCTGCCAATTACACCAACCCCAAGAAAAAGCAAAGAAGCACATATAGCACCAAAAAATAGTTGTTGTACTCCGTACCTGTACCACCATCTCGGGTCCCTGCTCCAGCTACCAACGGCGCCGCCTCTTTGATGCAGGCCAGCCAACCAATTTCATTTTGGAGCAGCCGCATCAGCATTCAGAAGATCCCCTGGGAGCTAACGGGCGGATAGGTGCTGAGATGGGAGGTGCCTCAACCGTGTTTCAAAGCCTGTAACCTCGGCGGTACTTGCAAAGTTAGGTACGGGTACTATGTTCCAGACTCTGAACGTCATCACAATCACAAGGCTGCCGAAGACGTTTGTCTGTTGCCCCTGTCCCTGATACCGTTCCAGATGCCGACCCTTGTTTGTTGATCCTCCTATTCTTTTAACGCCGCAGCCGCTTTCAAAGTATTTCGTGTTACTACGTAGTTCGATCAAGTCCTTGTCATGATTGCATACCTAGGTATCAAGTCCAAGTCTAGAGATGGAGTAATTTCAAATCCGCTGCATGAACACGGAGGAAGCTGATACTCGCCAGGGGGGATGGATAACTCCTCGCTCCCATCAAACCTTCAGCAGGGTTGATCCCCGAGCAATTCTTCAACGTCAACTCGAACTGCCTCCTGTCAACTTCCTTACAGTTAATCCCATCACCTCAGCGAACGGACCTCGTTTGATAAACCACGTGTGGCACTGGCTTCTTTGCATCCGCAGTGTTTCTTCTATGAAAACAAAATTGAATTGTTCTAGAACAATGCTCCAAGACGTTAGTGGCTTGGAAAACGCCTCTCGGGCAATGCCGCGGCCGGCCAAGAAGCATTTTATATCGAATATTGGTATAGGCAAAGAATCACTTCTCCGATACGATGCCTTTTTTCCGCTGAATGGCATTCAACATGAGTCTGGTTTGCCCATCGATGTGCCATTTATCCTATTTGCCGGTGATCTAACAACTGAGGCGCAACGCCGCCTGTCAAGGTCTACATTTCTCACGATAGTTTGGTGTTTAGTTTGTCTAGTTTCGTACTCACGAATCCACGGTGCGGGTATTTTTTTGTCAAGATCATACGTTTGTGTTCTAGAATTGGAAGAACAAGGATCCAGCTGAATCGCAACGGTCAATTTAAATAGCTTTGGTGCTTGGTGCGCATAATTGAGCAAGTTGCGCAAGCCTGATTCTCGACGATATCTCACAATCTTTCTTCTTCTGTATGCCCAGGTATGAATAGTCAATCTGCAGGCTGAAACTCCGAAACAATGGAGGTTGATGGATTTCTTTCTGAGCTATATTCGTATTATTCGATCAGAGGAGACGATCTTTCTGTCGACGAGGGCTAGACGGCGATCTCGTTTCAGTCGATAACTTTATTTCGTTGTTGTTCTCTGTGCAAGCGAAATTCGGCAAGTCAACTGACTTCTAATCCTTACGTTATGGATCCTACCTTGACGGCAGTCATGATCCTTCAACTACCGATCAGATGGATACTTATCTCAGATGATAGCGACGTTAACCTCTAAGGTAAGGTACAGTAGATACAGTATCTAACCTCTGCTATCTGAACAAATCATATCTCACCATAGATAACCTACCCTGGTTTCCCGGAGGGAGTGCTCCAACCCTGCCAGAGTCATCATAAAAATTCCCGATGCCATTACTCCGTCAATTTTTTAACTCGTAATTAAGTATCAATTTTAGCCACGAGGATTAAAAAGTCCCCAGTTCTTTCATTCCATGATCATCACCTAGGTATGGCGTAGGTTAGTCTACTAACCTAGAGGTAAGGTCAGTACAAATCATGACGACTAAGATCGCTTAGAGTATGATGCTTGATGACGTAGTTGAAATAACATCACTCCAATTTGAGCTGCATTTCAAGCCCAGATCTTGTCAAATACATATTTCAATTGCTTCAGAAAACTACACAGATCACCTGTAACATCACCTCAAGCTCAATTTCTACCAGAAACCCACGTCTATCGCCATGTCTCTCTTCCGCAATGTCCTCCGTACGACCGCAACCACTATCCGCCCTATTCACACAACAAGGCGCCTGCAGATGCCATATAAGCACGATCAGGACCGAGAATCTCTGCGCCCAGTTGTGAATGAGAACACAAAGTCAGGAACGGACGAGCAAGTTGCCTCGGAGCACGCAGACATTGCCTTTGACCCTAACACGACACGGCCCGAGGAAGCTGCCGACAAGACCAGGGAGAGGACCAAATCCAAGGGTCGAGAGGGAGAAGACGCCCTGAACGCGAGTGGTGCGAACCAAGAGCTTAGCACACCCATGGGTGATGAGAAAACGATCAAGACCAAGGGTGCTGGAGAAGAGATCTCAAAGGGAGGATCCAGTGGAAGTGGAAGTGCGCCCAAGAAGGGAGATCTACCCAAGGCCAAGTAACAAGTGGAAAAGCGAAGCGAGAAGTCAACAGGTTTATGAACTGTATCTCATCATATGTGTTACATATTTGTTCATCAGAAGAAGAGCTTGGGGGCTTGATTGCATATCTAGATAATGAAGAAGGAAAAAGCTCACCACACCAACCTCGGCGCCAGAAAAACATGGAACTTTTATCTCGATGAGTGATAGGAGAACGAATGACTGGCGAAGTGCTACAGCACTCCCACCTATTGATAGCACAGACAGTCACGACTACTAATGACTTACCTCGTTACCGTACCTACCTTAGTACCTAGCTAAGGTACCTAAGGTAGGCAGGTACTAGGTAGTGAGCCAGCAACTACACAAATATCGAAGGAAGCTCCCAACTGACAGACCTCGTCTTCCTTGTTTCACCTTCCAAGCTCAAAATGCCATCTGTTTTGAGCAATTCACATCATTGTTCCAAGTTTGATAGTCATTGAACAATACTCGAGTTACGTTCAATATTCATCATCTGTGATAGAAATATCATTTTCAACAAGCAAACGAACGTCATGAAACCCCCCGAAACATCACAATGTTACATCTCCCTAGAAGAACTGTTAGACGAAGCCGATCGGGACGACTTACACTTCGACATAGTCAACAAATTCAATCGAGCTCTGAATACTAGAGACCGCACCCCAGATCAATCTGATGATGAAGTTGATGATGAAGCTGATGATGAAGCTGATGATGAAGCTGATGATGAAGCTGATGATGAAGTTGATGAAGCTGACGACCAAAAAGGAGCAGAATCTAGTAGAAGTAGGCCTGGAACTGGACCAGACCAATCTACGGAGGGTCAACAGCTTGACGCCGAGGGACAGAAGCTCGCTGATGAACTGGACGAGCTATGGTAGAAACATGCCCGTCACAATCTCAACTCCGAAGCTTGCGTGTCTTCTGGCTTTTCTCAAACATTCCGGAATGCAGTCTGGAAAGTCTTCCGAGAAGTTCCTCGACGGATTCCAGTCGATGATGAACGTATTGATCTCCTTGTACACACGGTGGTTGCCCTCGGGAAAATGCACAAAAAAACAATCAATTCTCAGGGGATATATGTCTGGAAGGACTTCCTAGGACTGAAAGAGCTTCTTCTTGAAGTTTGTGAAGGCATGTTCCTCAGCTTGCCCTTCGTCTAAACCTCTCGAGTCCCACTGACTGTTACTTAGTTACTTTCCAGCGTCTGACGTATGAGGGCTCGGTGTCTTTTCAGTCATTTTATGCTCGTCTCGTTGCCAAGAATATACCGCTAGATGACACCCTTGCCTCCCACGTCATGAAAAAAGCACTGGAAGATCCATTACCACCTGATCGACAGATGGCCGAAACCTACATTCGTGCGGCCTGTGAATGGCTTATAGCAGCTGGCCCACAACTATTTCTTCGGATTAGGGATGTCGAAATAATATTGGCACAGCAATCACCACAATGGCCGTTCAAGCAGGGCGCAGTCCCCAGAGAAAGATGGGAATTGTGGAAAACGAGGCTCAAAGTACTGTGGGGAGCAGCATTCAGGCCTGACCAGCAAAGTCTGCAGGATAGACTGTTCGAGGCAGGCATTCACATGAATCGGGTACATGGCCAATACATGTTGGCTGAGATGGATCAAATGTGCCGAGATTATGGCGAATTTCAAGCATCGATACAGGAACAACGAGGAGATGTAAATAAATGGTTGGGTGGTGTATAACTTGCCAAGATACTGGAGAAGGGCAAGATAGCATTAGCAAACTGTTGTCAATTTTACATTCATCATGCCATGAAAACATGAAGCTGATAGTGGCTCGAACTCCCGACGCCAGATTATGCATATCACTACTAACGCACCAATGCCTAGGCGTACATCATATCGCCATCCTCGTCGTCGTCGTCATCCTGCACTGCAGGGACCTCCTTCTTCTTCCCCAAGTCTTGACGGCACATGGGACATGTACCCTTGCTGCGCAACCAAGGTCCGACGCACTCGAGATCAAATCGATGGCCTCCTTTGCATGGCAGCTCAACAACGAGGCAATACTCGTCTTCTAGATAGGGCACCTTGCAGATGGCGCAGTCGTCATCTTTCTTGAGGGTTTTGCGACTGACACGATCGATCGAGTCAACGAACTCTTGCGACACGCCATGTAAGCGAGTGGGGGGGTCGTTGATATCATCTTCTAGATTCATTATCAGAGACTCTAAAAAGTCTCGGTTATCATCTGTAGGGGCAGTTGTGTGCAGCAGGTGTAGCTGTTCCTGGAGGAGGCGGAAGAGAGCGGCCGTGTCCACGGGGGTAGGCGTGGCGTGTGGGTTGTGATGAGGAGTTTGGTCGCCTGAAGGTTCGGCGATCTGATCGAGGAGGGAGAAGAATGATGACATGTCTACGCGACGGCCTGAGCGACGGCCTTCAGCAAACTTGACATTGTGTTCGACTTGGGAATGGAAAGTTAGCTATAAGATCGAATGGAGGGGTTGAGGAGGGGTTATTCTATGTTACCTTCGTACTGAGTAGCCATTGCGAATCCTCGAAAGCTGTGTTTGATTGTTTGTACGCTGCTGGTGTAGATATTGAGAAAGGATAGTAGGAATAATGTACAGGGAGAAGAGAGGGCGCGCTGGCATCAAGACGTGGTTGTGTAACGGTCAGGCCCAGGCAGAGATGATGTCGCAAGTCGAGAGCTCTTCCATGAGTTGTGGGGTACCATGGGAAATGAGTGGAGAACTGGACCCCTGCTTTAAAGAGTGCAGGACGCCACAGTTGTGTAGTAATGTTAGGATGCAGACAGGGCAGAGCAGGGCTGAGAAAGTTAGTTATACATACGATTAGGTTCTTACAGGGTCACATAGAAGTTTGGCCCTTGAGATCAGTTAACAATGCATTCATGAATTGAGGCTTACATTGGTAGGAGAGCAATTGACTTGATTAATCACGATATCATCACATGCCAACTCGGTTTAATGTGGCTGATTCCCTATCCCGCTTGGACCATGTCGTCACATCATTCAGTCCCAAGCTCTCGGAGATCTAACGGTTTAAATACTGTACTTGCGTCTGTCTTGACTGCCTACCCATCGACCGATCGATCAACTAGTTAGGGTTTCAACGGACTGTTTATCTTCCGCCTTTCTTCCTATCCAAGTATCTTACCTTGCCTACCTACCTATTATTGCTCTCATCTTGATACCCTCACAAACCCTTCACCTACCATAACCACTAATTTACCCTGTCGCCATGTCTTTGCCCTCTGCTGCCATCATCGGCTCGACCGGCCTGGTCGGCTCAAATATCCTTTCAACGCTGCTGGCCTCCGAGATCTACAACCCTGTACATACCATCACTCGACGCGCTCCCAAGGCGACATCACCTCACCTCAATGCGATAGTCGATACCGATACGGCCAAATGGGCAGAGCTTCTCACAGGTCTCACGCCCAAGCCATCTGTCGTTTACTCTGCACTGGGCACCACTCGCGCTCAGGCAGGCGGAATCGCCAATCAGTGGAAGATCGACCATGATCTCAATATCGAACTCGCAAAGGCGTCCAAGGCTGCAGGTGTCTCGACCTTCGTATTCATCTCCAGCGCTGGAACACGGTCTCTGCTCTCCTCATCTTCGCCTTACGCCAAAATGAAGAACGGGGTTGAAGACGCGATCAAGGAACTCGACTTTGAGCAAGCCGTGATTCTCAAGCCCGGTATGATCCTCGGCCACCGAGAGGCCAGCCGCACAGTGGAGGGTATTGCTCAAGGGGCAGTCAACGGTCTTGGCCATCTCAGCGCTGGTATCAGAGATACCTTGGGTCAAGATGCTGATGTCATTGCGAAGGCGGCTGTGAGGGCTGCGCAGTTGGCGAGTGAGGGAAAGGCGCCGAGTAAATACTGGATTCTTGGTGGAAGCGACATTATCGAGTTGGGAAGGACTGAGTGGCCGGGTAACCAGACTCCCACGGAGACGAAGCCCGAGGCTGCTGCGTAGAATCTTTGCGAGGGTGACTTGACACAATCTCTTGGTTCAGTCACAACTCTCTCTACCTTTGCACAACGCTTTCGCAAACTGCCAGAATCAATTGGCGGGCTGTTTAATGACGTCCTTCCTCAAGTACTCATTAACAAAAAAAAAAAACATGAGACGAACAGAGTGGTTTCTAATCCATAATGCATACTCTCCTCCCTCTGCAACACTCAACGACTCTTGCGACAGAATTGCGCAATATAAAATGATCTTCAAGCTATCAAGACTCCAGCTGGAGATGCTTCACTAGAGGACCCCAGGGATGAGAAATAATTCGCCAGTTAAGAGCACATAGTATTCTCGGTCTTTTATCCGTCTTGTACCTTATATATGCTTATGATTTAACATCATTGGTTATGATCAATTGCTCAGTTCCCATCCCACTAGGTCTTGGCATGAGAGCACAACCCTGTCTATGATTCTGTACACCTCGTGTTGCGTTTCACGAAGCTATAAAATGCAGTAATTTCCCCCTGAATGAATACATGTTCACGTTGAAGCTGGTATATAGGTAGTTATCAAAGGCCTTCTGCTAGGCAGTAAGCAAGTCTTGATCTTTCCCCCGACCCATCGCACTTCGGCATTGCTTCTCCCCGCCCCCGCCATTCGCCAGATCTCATCATCAACTCCACTCCTCGACTCTGATAACCACCACCAGCTTCTATCGACTTCTCACTCACTCACTCACTCACTCACTCATTCACGAAGCTTCATCTTTTGCTACCACAACTAACCTAGATTTACTCAAGTAAGTTTCGCCTATGAGAATTTCCTATCAGCCCCCAGTTCTCACAATTCAATAGCCCAGTAATCCATACCCGCTGTCGAGCACATCATCGTCTGTGATTACATATCATGTCTTCCCGTCCTTCAGTCGTCGGCCCAGACTCCGGTCCCGAGGCCCCTTATCCTCTTCACATGGAAGGCAAAGTGATTTCTGGTTTCGGCCGCGGCTCCAAAGAGGTAAGTCTTCTTGCATGCATCACTTATTTTACTCACACTTCTTAGCTCGGCATCCCAACTGCCAATCTCCCTGTGGACGATGCTCTCACACCGTGGATCGCCAATATCTCCTCTGGAGTCTACTTCGGCTATGCCTCTCTCGCTCTGCCCACAACACACCCGGACATCTCATCGGCTTCAACCAACGGGCCTCCCAAGGCTGACACAGAGGATGCTCTCCTCGCTGCCGAAGCCCCTGCTAATCCTCCTTTCCACATCTTTCCCATGGTGATGTCCATTGGGTACAACCCCTTCTACAAGAACACAGTTCGCAGCGCAGAGGTCCATGTGCTGCACAAGTTCACCGCAGACTTTTATGATGTGCCTATGCGTCTCCTCATCCTTGGCTTCATCCGCGAGGAGAAGGACTACAAGAGTCTGGAGGCCCTGATTGAAGACATCCACTTTGATTGTGAGGTTGCAAAGAACAGCCTTGCCCGAGAGGCCTGGGCTCCTACAAAGGGACGTGTTATTGGCGGTAAAGATATTGAGGGCAAATTAGATGTCGAGTGGTTACTTCGAGATGCCTAGGATAGATCCAAGAGAAATAGAACATGGTAAAAGTGGCTGGGAGTTATGGATAGATAGCAACATAGAAGAGCTGGGATCTTTTTCAAAAGTCATGGTTGTTTCATTTCACATCTGCTGAACTACCTGGGTATCATGCGAAACCCCCGTCTGCCTGACCTGGAGCACTACCAATAAACTATTCAGCATCAAAGCTAATCTTCTATGCAAAAGGGTGTGCTGCAGATCTTTCCCTTCTCTTGCAAGGTAGCCCTCCCTTAAAGGCCTGGCTAGTATCTCATTTCAAAGAAAATAACCTCCAACAAAAAGGGAGAATGAACGTATTTCAGTTTTGCCCATAGTCATAACTAGCTAAACTGCCAGTAGCTGGGGTCCTTGGTCTGGTAAATATCGCGGTAAGAACTGCAACTGAGTTAGCAAGAAAGAAGTCTCAAGGTACAAGATGCTAGAACTCACATTCATTATAATCATCATGGGTATGTCAAAGACGTCTCGTTTGATCGTCCAACAGTAAGTGCATTCAACCTTGCCATCCCTCTCAATCCTCGATATACCGTGCTCGCTGTCAATCCGCGTGACTCGGCTACTGAGGATGCTCGGCTGTACGTCCTTCTGAGCAGTATGATCGGGTTTGATGTCCATGCTCTGAGAGGATCGATACTTGTTGAGCCGGCAACTTCTCTGAACCTTGCCGCGACTGTCCTCAAAGGCCAATTCCGCAAAATCTTGGTAAAACTCAACCACACTGTCATCATCCAGCAGCTCACCCAAGAAAACAGGCTGAGGTCGCCCGCCGGTCATGTCAAGGGTGGCTCTCTGAGGCCGGGGCGTTGGCATGTCTCCCTGAGCAGTGTTGTCTGGTGTGTTCGACCCATTGGTTGAACGCCCGCTGTAGTTATTGATATTGAGGTTTGGCTCTTTCCCGAGTAGTACCTCTTTTGTCCATCCTGTCAGCGCGATAAACTCTTTGTTGACAGCAGCGACCTCGCCCGATCTTCGACAGACAATGGTCGGAGCGCAGCAATGCTGTAGAAAGTCATCATATTCTACCAACGTTCTTTGAAAGCACTTCTCCATGAAAATGAGATCCTGGCGAGTCAGATCCTTTGTACACGATATGAAAGACGGTCGAATCTCTCCCAGGGCTTTAGCGATTCGCAGTAACTTGTTACCAGGTAGACGGTTTCGTAGAACAGCCACCATGTTGTGGAATCCGGTTGTGTAAGGATATGGCTCTTTTACACTTTCGTAGATAGCAGCAGAATCTCTCTGTCGCTTGCCAAGATACGACTTGGGATTCGGCTTAGTACTCTTCGGTCTGTGTCGTTGTGCGCCAGGAACCGTAGGGATTCCAGCAAAATTATGGCCTGGTGAGCCTTCCATGCCTGCAACAGAATGAGGGCTGGCTGTCGCATCTGTACTTGGGCTGGCAAGACTTGTAGGTCCGGCTGCAATAGCATAAGCATGGGGTAGTCCGTGCTGGAGGTTTCCCTGGGCATATAGAGATTGGTTGTTTTGGTCCATACCCGAAAAGTCGGCCCCTAACATGGGATGATCAAAGCCGTTACCGTTACCATTTGCATTTCCGAAGAGAGCTGCATAAGTGGCCTCGGTGGTTGGAGTTTGTGACAGGGAGTTCTCTCGTGGAGGTGTCTCGGCTCCAAGGGCCATCTTGTTAAGAATGCCAAACTCCCAGCCGGCGTACTGACTCCCGAAATTCAGACCTTCGAGGTCAAAATTGTACAGAGCAGGGTTGCTAGGATCGAATAAGGCGTTAAAGTCCATATTGCCAGCAGGTATAATATTGTTGATTGGAGCGTGCGCATTGCTGATCGGAGCCTGGAAGGATGTCGGGGACGTTTGTGGGTTGAAAGGTAGACTATCAATGCCTACAGGAGTCTGCGCCCCCGTCGAAAAGACAGGCAGTGTCGTAGTGCTCGCCTGAGAAAAGAAGTTGCTGCCAGTTGCAGACATACTATCTGACTGACTGGCATTCGAGTTCTGGCGCTGAGCGTTGGGCCTTGAGGGAGTAGGATTGGGACTGGGGTTGTAATTTGGGCCAAGAACAGGCCGCAGGGCTTCCGGAGGAGCATCATGAAGGTATTTAGCCTTCTTGCGCACACCATCTTGGCATGCATCAGCGAGGCCACGCTTGATGCACCTTTGGCACGGTCTCTCATCTCCTGGAAAGATGTCAGTTTGAGATCTCCTGTTGGTTGTCAAGCACGCCGATCTCAACTGCGATTCTCCCACAAAAATGGGTAAAGGAAGCGCGCAAGGCAGTTTGGCAGCGAAAACACCGACAACTGATGGATTGAAGAGCCAAACTTCACATGGAGAAAGCGAACTCGTATCATGATAATTGGCAAATTGCCAGCATTCGGTCGTTGCAAGGACACTTACCACAAGTCAGATGAGCTCTTTGGCATGCAAAGCAAGCCCTTCGCGCCTTTTTCCTCCTGGGGCGCATAGGATCTTTGGGGTCGTACTTCTTCTTGACCTCGGTGGTGCTCTCGGTGGTGCTCTGGTCGGTCATCTTCTCGTCTTCTTCCTGAAGAAAAGTTTCCGTCTCGTCTTCGTTCTCAGACATAACATCTGAGACCTCAGTGCTATTCTCCTCCATTTCGTGCGGCATGGTGTCTTAGGTTTTATATACAAGGGCCTGGAGACCAGTACAAGGTCTTGCGACAGCTGGAATATCCTCCTCTCAGCTTATTTGCAGCCCGAGACCTTGTTTGAGTTACTGCACACAAGGCGGCTCGGATATGCAGGCTCCGATCCCAGAAACCTCTTTTTTTGTTTCTCTCTTTCACTTTGTCCTCCTTTTAGACAGCTTTGCGAAACCACACTTACCCAAGCCGTGGTGGGACAGCCAAGCAGGCACAAGTACGCCGTCGAATTGAAGTTACAATCAGTGCTGTTCAGAGTGACAGCAACCCCCACGGTGGCGTGGCAATGCGCAGATAATCTTTCACCTGATCTCCCTCGCTGATCGCTAACGCGTGCTGCGTAGGCGATGTATGTGAGATGAGGAACAGCCTGAACTGCAATGCCCAGATGCGGTAGGATTATGGCGTTGGGCGCAAACGAGGCCAGAAGGCTGTATGCAGCCGTGTATTTGATGATCACGTCTCTGGGCTAATTGAGAGACCGAAACCGCCCGGTCAAGCTCGTATCGTAGAAGGGGCGTACTCAATGAAAGCCAATAAGTGTATAGGTATGATACGCAAAGAGGCGTCTTGGTGGAACGTATATTGAGTCAATAGTAGGTCGCAGGGGCCGTGAGGCTGTGATAGTTGTCACCGAACAAGGTGGAGGAGGTAGAATTCCGATTCGACGAGCTTGGGTGATCGATGATCGCCAGATGCAGGAGAGTCGTCGGTCAGCGGTAGAGGCGGAGCTGTCTAAGGCGACACGGAGGAAAAGCAACTGCG